CCCCCTCCCTCCCTCCTCCTCCTCCTGCCCTGCCCTCCCTTTCCCTACTTTTCCTTATGGAAACTCAAACATATATGAAAGTCCAGGGGCCCCACAGACCCACAGCCCAGCAGGCCACCAACCTCACATCCTTGAAATCTGCACACCCCCTCCCCAGCTGATCTCAGGGCAACCCCAACCTCATGTTATGTAATCGATGCCTCTAAGATGAGAGTCCCCTCTAACCATCATCACCCCAAAACAACACAAACCAGGCCCCTCCCTCACTCACATGGGTGCCGGGGCTCCCCAGCCGGCAGATACATGAGTTCTGTGTGCACACACACGTCGATGCGGGAGTGTTGGTGAACACACACGTGCGCACACCAGGTGTTGTTGGCCAGGGCACTACAGCTCAGCTCTTGCTCCCTGGGGCCTGCTTCCTGTCTCCCCACCTCCCTCTCGCGCAGCCTGGGTGTCGCTGTCCTGCTCCGAGCACTTCCTAGGACCTGGGCACCCGGGCGCTGTAGATGCGCCCACTCAGCAGCCTGTCCAGCCAGGCCCTGGCRGGGACTCTACGTGGTGCCATTCTCCTGGTGGATCCGCTCGTCCACAAGGCTGTGCGGGAGGCCATGCCTGTCACCCTTCACTTGATCACAGCAGGGCTCCCTAGAGAGACGGCCCCGGGCTGCGGGGGGTCAGCCGGAGGGTCGGTTGTGCTTTAGGATAATGCCAGGTTTTCCTCTTTTCAGTACAAGTGACCTTCGGGGGGCACCCCCGAAGGTGGTCATTTCAGGGCACCCAGCTGCTTCGCCTCTTGGGCTCCCGTGGCCCCATCCCGGGCYGCAGGGGGCCGAGTGGGCTCCCGGGTCCCCCCCTACGCTAGAGTTCTGCAAGGGCCCTTCCCTCCTCCCAGGGGCACCTGGACGTGTCCCCCCTAGAACTCACATGGGCCAATCCTCCGAGGAGCCCGTTCCTCCCAGTGGGAAGTGATCTCTAGAGACCACACTGGAAGTCAGGTCTGGATTTTTAAAGTTTTTTATTTTAGCGAAATGCGTACCATGTAAAACACTTCCTTAGCATTTTAAGTGCCCCGACCGGTGGCATTACTGCCTCCATGGTGCTGTCCCACTGTCACCATCCAAGCCCACCTCTTTTTCATGTGAGTGGCTCGGCCATCATCTCTGGGCTTTCCAACAAGCCAACATGGGGGTCTATTTCTGCTTGTTGTTTTGTGGTCCAGGGGGTTGAATGCTGCACCCCGAGACCTTCTTATTTTTGTTCTGAGACAGGTTCTCATTAACTTGCTCATAATGACCTTGAACTTGAGACCTACCTGCCTCAGCCTCCCGAGTGGCTGGGTTGACAGGTGGCCACTGTGCCTGGCTGCGAATGGTCTGGTCTCAATTTGGTTTTCACTTGTAAAACGTATTTTATCCCACATTTCTGAGTGTTTTTGTTGGGGGGAGGGGGATAAAAAAACCTTTTTTTTTCTTTTTTTTTTCTTTTTTTTTTTTTTTTTTAGTGGCAATGGTGGCACTTCTTTAATCAGATGTAAGTTTTCCATGTGGCCAGAAGTGGAAGACTCCTTCTTCCAAAAGAGATGTGCTGTTTTTTTTAACACACCCGTTACTGTCCAGGGACACAGCTGTGAGCCAGGAAATGCCTGTCCTCAGGGACCCGCGTTGGTGCGGAGTCCAAGACAGCTGTCTTGGGTCCCCCTCACCGAGGACAGTTCCTGAGAGACAGGCGYGCCTCCCCACGAGGGCGCTGCCCACCCAGCCTCCCTTCTCGGCCTCCTGGGGTCCACACTGGCCTTCTGGGGCTCAGTGCTGCTGGTCTCCCCCCTGACACCGGCTACCTTTCAGGCATCCTCTACGGTACCATGACCCTGGAGCTGGGAGGCTCGGTGACCATCGCGTGTGAGAAGAACCACCTCCAAGCCGAGCTGGACTTCAAGCTCAAGGTAGAGGGCAGAGCCTTTGGGAGTCATGGCTCAGAGCTGGGGCTGTGAAGGGAGTGAGGCTSTGGGGAGCCCCTCCTGGCACCCAGGGACAGCTTTCCAAACAAGAGAACGGGGGGAGCAGCTCTTTACGTACCACAGGACAGACAGGGCCCAGAGAGGGGAAGGGACCCGCTGCAGATCCCACAGCAGAGCCAGTCAGCCAGAATAGACCCTGCGTCCTGGTGGCCTCCAGCCCTGGGCCTTGGCCGAGCCATGATCACAGGTGACTGTTCTGTGCCCCAGGAGGATGTGCCTCTGGCCAGCCCCCTGGCTCACCAGGTGTCCCCTGTCCCTTGTGCCTCTGCAGCCTTTCTTTGGGGGCAGCACCAGCATCAACCAAATCTCSGGGACGATCAGGTCGGGAGAGAATGTCCTGGCACATCTCACTGGACACTGGGTGAGGGGACGCCCCTCGGGGCCAGCCTGGCCGGGTCTCGGGGTGGTCACGGCCCAGGCCGGCAGCGCTRACCCTGCCTGGCTACCTGGGGCAGGACCGAGACGTGTTCATCCAGGAGGAGGGCGGCGGGAGCCCGGAGCTCTTCTGGACCCCCAGCAGGGAGGTCCGCAGGCAGAGCCTGAAGCGCCACACGGTGCTGTTTGAGGAGCAGATGGAGATGGAGTCTGAGAGGTGAGACCGCCTGGCCCCACAGGACCCCACTGACCCCAGAGCAGACCCCTTGTGGCAGACCATGTGTCTTGGCAGGGACAGCTGGAGGGAGGGGTCCCCAACACGGCTGGCAGGTGACCGTCAGGTGACCGTCAGCCCCACAGGGAGGCCCCTGCAGGTGGGAGGTGGAGCCAAGCTTGGGAGAAGCTTGTCACAGGGAGACACAGCGCGGGCGCCTGTGGGCAGCAGCACCTGTCATTAGAGCAGTCAGAGGCCGCCCTGAGCTCCGCCCAGCACAGAGGGCCTGCGCCCACGCTGCTGAGGGGACAGGGCCGCCCAGGCCCCCAGCTCAGGGTGGGTCCCTCCCCACAGGCTCTGGCAGCACGTCACTAGGGCCATCCACGAGGGAGACCAGCACAGGGCCACCCAGGAGAAGTGTGTGCTGGAGGAGGCGCAGCGGCAGCGCGTCCGCGAGCACCAGCAGGGCCTCACGCCCTGGACACCACAGCTGTTCCACCTGGACCYGCTCACCCACGAGTGGCGCTACCGATACGAGGAGTGAGCACAGCAGGCGGGGCCTGGGGCCTGGCCGCGGGGCTGGCCCAGCTGACCACCCTCACCCTGGTGCCAGGCCACAGGGGCTCCTGGCTCCTCCCCCTCCGACAGCCCTCCCCCTGGAGGGGCAAGTGACAGGGAGGGAGGGCTCTACAGGGCCCACCGGCCCTCTGGGGTTCTGTCCACCCTGGGGAGGCTGAGGGCTGGACCAGGACAGAACCCTCTCCCAGAGGGCCTCTGCCAACAGATGTCCTCTGGCCCCCCAGCCACAGCCCCTGGAATCCCCTGACGGACGTCACCCAGTTTGAGCAGGATGGGGTTCTGCACACCCTGCAACGGGAGACCGTGGCTCACAAGACCACCTTCCTGGGCAGCCCGGAGTCAGGGCGCGAGGTTGGCATCCCCAGGGCCCGGTGCAGGTGCATCCTCAGGTGCCTGTGCGGCTGCCCACACCTCCCCCCGGGGCCTGCTCCCTCGGCCACCTCCCACCCCCTTCCCACGGACCGCTGCACAGTGGGCCCACCGACCTGGACCCTGGACTCCTGCCCTGCCCAGTGTGGGACCCCGGGTGACTGGATCTGCAGGGGCTGTGCAGAGCTGCCGCTCCCGCCCCATCCCGACCCAAGTCCACACCACGTTAGGAAGCACGTTGTCACCTTCCATGTTGCAGGGAAAGGCTCAGGGCAGCCCAGGGACTGCCCAGGCAGGAGGAGGAGCTGGCGTCTGGGCACGTCTGGGGGCTGGAAGGACGGGAGGGAAGGCAGCAGGGCCCTGGCACAGACCTGTCTTGGGGACACCTGGAATCCTCCTGGATGCCTCTGCCACGTGGCGCCTGGTCCACGTGCACCATGTGCCCAGCATGTGCAGAGCCAGCTGACCGGCTGGTGTCCCTGCAGAGGGGTCAGCTGCTCTGTGTTACCACTGAGAGGGGAGAGGCCGTGGCTGCCCAGTCATGGTGGCCAGGTCCGAAGCACTCTGTCCGACTCCAAAGCCATGGGATTGGCTCTCTGTGTGCCACCTCCTCCAGCACGGCCCTGGCACACACGGGCCACGGCTCCTCGAGGGATCAGTGTGAGTGTGGTAGGTGGCTCCCAGCTGCATTGGCTCCATCTTCCTGCAGAGGTCTGGCCCAGACCGGCGACTCCGCAAGGCCAGTGACCAGCCGTCTGGCCACAGCCAGGTGACAGAGAGCAGCGGCTCCACGCCCGAGTCCTACCCAGAGATCTCGGATGAGGACTGCCACTCTGCTCCCGGTGAGCCTGCCGTGGCCTGGCCCCCGCCGGCCTGAGCTGGCCGGGAGGGCAGGAGAGGAGGACTGGCCCCAGCTCAGTTCCCCTGCTCCATGGCAAAGGCCAGAGAAGAACCTTCCCTGAGTGTGGCCAACCCCAGCAGGAAGCCCTCCCAGCAGACTCTGCCCTCTCCGAGTCCGAGGGGTGGGCAGCCCGGGGGCTGACGAGGGGTGTCGCCAGGACCGAGGGAAGGAGGGGCAGCAGGCCGCGGCCAGGGCGATGAAGGGGAGGCCTGGCAGTGTTCTGGCCCCGCCCCGCCCTGCCCCGTCAGGGTCTGGTCACTGGCTGTCACGGGGTGAGCTGTGTGTCCCCAACTTTGTCCCTGCCGCTGTGCCCTGGGCCACTTGTCTCCCAGGGCTTGTTAGAGGCCAGCTGGGCCTGAAGAGTTCTCCAACACCCTCCAGCCCCTGCCTGCCTGCTCCTGCTGGTTTTCCAACTGTGGGCAGGGCCAGAACCGGCTGGCCTGACATCCCAGCTCACCTGCTTCTCCCTTCCTTCCTGTGTCTGCCTGTGCCTGGGGTGTGCAGCTGATGACAGCCCATGTCCTCGGTGCAGGAGGGAGGCACAGCAGCTGCAGGCACTGAGGGAGGCCGTGCTGTCCATCCGGGARGCCCAGGAGGAGCTGCACAGGTAGGCCAGGCGGCCGGCCCCCAGCCAGGGCAAGTGGGGGGGAGGCCAACTGTGCAGGTCGGAGGCACACGGCTCTATTCCGGAGCTGGGTTTGGGAGCCAGTGAGGGGGCCTTGCAGACAGTGGGTCTGAACGGGATGAGTTCACAGTTTAACAGAAACTGGGCCAGAGATTTTGAGGGCCCAGGTCTAAATCTTGAGTAGCCCCAGGGTGGACCCCAAGGTTTGTGGAGACAGATGGCAGCTCAGAGGAGGGAGTATAGGAGTAGCCCCTCCTTGGCACCCGCAGGTGCAGCTGGACAGGTGAGCAGGCAAGGAGGGCCCAAGAGCCACACTCTGTGTCRCTGGTGGGTGGGCACCCTCTGGGCCACCACAGGTGGAGCAGAACAGTGTCCAGCTCATGCTGGGGACCCTGYGCTGTCACACCTCAGCCCCCACCTCTATAAAATGGAGTTGATGGCAAAACACCTGGAGCAGTGGGTGAGGCAGGAGGCTGAGCCCCTCAGGCACCCGGCRAGCGTTTGGGCTCTGCTGTCCTTGTGGCTCCTCTCTGGCTCCTGAGACCTACCAGGGACAGGACACCGTAGGGCAGAAATGTTCCAGGAGTCGGACATGGGACAGCGAGTGTCCCAGGGCCATGAGTAAGGCCTGTCCGCCAGGGCGTCAGCTCCTGTGTTGTCAGAGAGACGGGACCAACAGGGCCCGACACAGACCCGGGCCAGGGTGCTGTCCGGGGAGACCGTGAGGTCTTGCAGGCTAGAGGCCCTGGAACTGTCAGGCAGGGCRGCCATGCTGGCCCCAGCCCACCTCCCGTCTGTCCTGTGTTGCAGGCACCTGTCGGCCATGCTGAGCTCCGTGGTGCAGGCTGGGCAGCCCGCCCCTGGCCTCCTGCAGAGCCCCCGCACCTGGTTCCTGCTCTGCGTCTTCCTGGCTTGTCAGCTCTTCATCAACTACATCCTCAAATAAGGGCCCCTGGGGCAGCGGGCTTCCCTGCAGACCCCCGAGCCTGAGCCTCCCTCCCAGGCACCCAGCACTTTACGCCAGCCCCGCGGAGGCAGAAAGGCCTGGCCAGCCCGCCACTGTGGCAGAGGCCCACGGYAGGAGGGAGGGAGCAGGGGCTGTGGCCCAGGTGTGCAGGGCCCTCCGCCCAGGGCGGCCTTAACGCTAAAGCCAAATGCAGCTTCCATTGTGTGACACGCACCTCGTCATTCCCAGTCCAGCCCCACTTGCCACAGGGCACCAGTGGATTCGGGGCGGGAGGGCCTGCCCCCGCTGTGGACAGCTACCCGCTGGCAGCAGTGAGTGAGGTTTCAAGGAGAGAGCGGGGAGACCCCAGGAGTCCCTGGCGCATGGCCCRATGCACTTCCAGAGACTCTGCTCTCGTTGCTGGGTCGCCCTGAGGGACCCCAGGAGGCTCTGGGTCAGGCCGGGGCTCCCCGGGCAAGGACACTTGGGGCAGTTGTTCTGTCACTGTGCTGTTTGGTGGAAGCCCAGGACAGGTAGGTACTGGACCCWCCCCACCAACAGCCAGAGGAGCCCACTGGAGCCACTGCCCGTGGGCGGAGCGGGTGAGCAGGAGGGAGCCGGCGGCCAGAGAGGCTCTGCACCAGGCTGCCCGGCCCACACAGTCTTCCTTCCTTCACACTTTTTTAATAACGTGTAACTGCAATATGTCAGGCGGCCGCACAGCGGTGAGCCTGTGGCGTCTGGCCCCAGTTCCTGTGTCCATGGCGCTATGTGTGCGTGTGTGCGTGTGCGTGTGCGTGTGTGTGTGTGTGCGTGTGTGAGCATCTGCACATATTTACATCTGGAGCCTTAAACTACTCTGTGGGTGCCATCTCAGCTGTAGCTGACCCTTCATGTCCAAGTTTTGTACCACGTTCTTGTCTCTTCCCCTCTCCCCAAGTCGGGGACCAGTCTATGCTCCATGCCTTGAAATAAATGGAACACATGTTGCGGGTTCTCTTCTTGGGGGGCTTCAGGAAGTGAGGGGGTCCTCTGGGAAGAGATTCAAAACCAGCATGGGGCTGTCTGGGGTGGGGTGCAGAGCTCACATCACAGGGAGGGATCCAGGTGAGGTGGCCGGGTCCTGCACCCACCCAATGAGCCGGCTGAGGGTACAGGAGGGGACTCAGGGAGGCCCAGGACTGGGAAGGTGAGGGAGGGGACATTGGTGGGGCTTGTGCCCTGGGGCCTCACAGAGGGGAGCCCTGGCCAGGCTGCTGACCGCTGCCCCCAGCCCTGCTCTGGTTCAACCGTCCCTGTCCTTAACCATCAAGGCAGAGAGGCGGGGCCGCCCTGTGCTGGAGGGCCCCRACCCTGACCCCACACCACCTCCAGGGAAGGGCTGCGCACCGAGGTCCCATGAGGCCAGAGGGATGAAGGTGGCGGGCAGCACCGTGAGAGGGGACCTACGGGTGCCTCTCTACCTTAGTCCCGGTGTCCCAGGAGAGAGCAGGGGCAAGGAAGAAGCAGCCACCCCGCCTCCCCAGGAGCCCCCCGAGGACRGGCCCCTGCTCTGGAGCCCCCTGCATAGCCACAGACAGGAGCTCAGGCGGGTGCCTCTGGTGGGAGTGTTCTGCCCTGGACCCCTGTTCCCTGTGCAGACAAGTCCTGAGCCCCTCGCCATCCCTCCTGCACCCCGGGCCCACTGACAGCCATGGGGCCCGTGCCCAAGGGGGCCTCTACCTGTGCCTTATTCTTTTGTGGCTCTCCTGGGTGCCTCCCACTTACAGAGAACCGTGGACGCACTGTGAGGAGTCGCAGCGCCTGCCACAGCGTGACCAGTCTCCTTCCCTCCTCCTCCCTCACCCCTTCCTCCTCCACTGGCCTCCCTTTTATTATTTTTTTAATGAGCGCATTATAATCTTACATCMAAGCGGGATTCAGGCACCGTGGGGTCCAACCACAAAGAATTGGTGAAGATTTGGGGTTTACCGCCCACGACGGTGGTGAGACCACAGAGGCGCAGCCACTCCGCTGCTGACAGGCCACGGAACAGGCCAGCGCACCAGGAGAACACTGGGTGACAGGCCAGTTCCTGTGTGTAGTAGGACCAAGGGCGTGAGGGCAGAGGTGGCCGCCATCTCACTTTGGACCCCGAGCCAGCACGGTACCTTTCAGGAATTGGCCCCCACAGGGTTTCCAAGACGTGKGTCGAGCTGCTGTCTCAGTAGTGGGTCTCAGGGGGTTTTCACGGGAAGCAGCGTGTCCTGTGGTTTTGAAGAGCAATGTGAAGTCAGTTTCTCCAGGGAAAAGCGCGACAGTAAAATCCGCGCCTGGCTAGGGGTCATCAGGAAGGGCTCCCAGGGGCTGTGAGTGCCTCCYGCTGCGGGGGTGGGGACCAGCCTACACCAGTGTAAACATCCCKAGTGTCCGGGCCGAGCTCCACTCCCTTCCTGAGTGACCAGCCCCCTCTGCCCCCGCCTGCCTTGGCAGCTAGGGCTAGAAGGGGCTGCGCAGACMCCCCAGCCTGAGCGGGCAGAGGCCCCCATGTAAGGGGACAGATGGTGGGAACGCGAGAATAAGAGAATAATCTTAGCAAATGAGCCCACTGTACCGACCCCCACACCAACCTGCCTGCAGCCCCACCTGCCTGAGGGGACAGGAGATGTCACCTTCCTCCACAAACTGAGTKGGTGGTGAAGGCCTGGCAGTCAGTGTGGGTCCTGAATGCTGGGGGTTGAGACGTGAGGGCTGGTCATCCAGGGAAGACGAGGGGTGGCTAACAGCTGACCTCCAGGACCTCACTCYGGCCCTGTTCCTGCTCCTTCCTGCCCGTAGGCAGTACAGGGAGAAGGAAGAGAAGGTGGGGGTTCTGAGGTCCATAAAGAGGAAGACGCACCCACTCCCCCGGGCACCCARCTCTGGGCCCCCTTCTCTCCGGAGAATCCTGTGTCCCTGTGTCCTGCTGTCCCTGTGTCTTTTCTTAAATAAAACTTGCTTTCCACGTGTGCCTCGGCATTTCTCGGGTGTTTAATCGTCACCACAAGGAAGGAGGACCCGTTCCTGATCTCCACGACCCTGTCAGCACCCACCCCTCCCCCCACCTCCACCCTGCACGCTGCCAGGCCAGGAGCCCAGGGCATACCCCGGGAATGGGGAGAGGAGGGACAGGGCAGGGTGGCTGATGGGCCACCCGAGCTGAAGCAGGTCCCCTGCACCTGCTAGTGACTTGGTGCTGGCCCGGGAGGGGCCGGGGATGAGGAAGACCCCAGGGGATGCTCCCTTGGCACCTGCTGGGTAGGACTGGGGGAGCAGTGCCCTCTCCAGGGCTGAACTTGGGGTGCCCCTGGAGAGGAATGAAGATCGGGTGCCCCTCCCACTCCCTAGGAAGGGGGCAACAGGTTAGTCCTCTTGGACGAGGAAGGGCCCCGGMAGGCCACGCATGGGGAGAAGCCGGGAACTGCTAGGTCAGTGTGACCAGCCAGGTGGCATCGGTCCAGTGCTGCGTGCAGGGATGCCCGGGGCCTCTCCCGCCACCAGAACAGAGGGCAGGGACTGCTCCAAATGTATGGGCACCAGAGCCGTAAAGAAGTACTCTCGGTCCAGGGGCCACCTCTCAGGAAGTGGCTAAGGGGCAGGGCCCAGAGCAGGCCAGGGCCCAGAGCAGGCCAGCCAGAGGGCAGAGGAACCCACCCAGCGACTAGCCRGGCGGGCAGCAGCTACYCCAGAGCTGCTTCAGCCTTGTCCCCAGCAGTGATGCCCACCAAGTCTCATATGTCCCGAGTCATTTCTCCAACAAGCAACATAAATCTGGACCTACTGATGCCAAAGGAGATGCCCGGGGCCACCTCGACTCTCCACACAMCGAGGAGGCCCCAGGAAGGCTGAGAGGTGAGACCCAGGCCCAGGAAAACCTTCTAGAAGAAAGGTCTGGAGGAAGCCGTCCAGGGGCGGAGGACACGGCTGGGTGAGGGCTTCCGAGAGCACCAGAGCCCTGGCCTGCATCTCCAGCCCCAGGTGCGTGCAGAGAAAGGCCTTGGCCAGTCCCAGGAGGTGACCCCTGGGGCAGCAGGTGAGCCTGCAGAGCAGTGATCCCAGCCTCACTCGCACCCCACAGGCGAGGAGGAGCCCCCCRAGCATGACAACCCCCATCACTAGGTTCAGGTACGATCCACCAACAGAAAAAGTGGGAAACATTTAAAAGCCCAGATCCGGCCTCCGGAGTACGGCCTCTCGATACTGTTTCCTACTGGGAAGAACAAGGCTCCCTGGAGAAGTGGCTGATTTGAGGTCCAGGGTGGAACACGTCCAGACACCCATAGGGTGACAGCGGAAAGAAGGACCCTTGCAGAGCTTAGCCTATCGGGGGGACCCAGGAGCCAACTCCRGCCCCTACAGCCCGAGATGGGACACCTGGAGTAGGTGAACCCACAGCCTGAGTAGTGTCCTACTGGTCAGGGGCTGTCTGGCTGCAGCGCTGTGTGTAGTCCCTTGACTTGACACAGGGGGACAATCAACAAGGGGACCCTAACCCCAGGGCCCCAGGGCCCCAGGGCCACGGCTCTGCTGGGGCCACCGCCCACTGTGAGCCAGGAGCTRGGGTCCCTGGCCAGCCATGTCTCTCCTGCTTGAACACCGTGCTGAGCCGGGCAGCCCTGGCACCATCGTCTAGCCTTTCCTCTCTGTGGTCACTGTTGCTTCTGGTTTCTTTTACTTTCCCTTTATTTCCCTCTTTTTCTCAAAAAAAAAAAAAAAAATAGTGAGCGGTCTCCCCCACCCCGTGTTTCATTTTGAGGGGGCTGGGTTCCCTGGGCAGGTTCTGRAGCCCTGCTCTGCCCTTTGTCAAGGTGGCCCCAGCCACCTGCCACCCCACGACTTCACAMGCGCTTTAGACTCAGCTGCCCCTCCTACCGGGAAGCCGCTAGGGCCACCGGGGCCACCTGGGATCTGCAGGTCAGCACTGGGGGTCCTGCCCTGGCAGCGGCGGCCGGTCTGAGGGTCACGAACAGAGGGTGCTTTCCATGTCCTYGGAGCGCGAGCCTTCCAGCAGTGTCCACAGTGTCCAGAGCAGGCGCTGGCCGCTGACCTCTCTCCTTTCAATCCTGCTACGTTTGGATCTGGTTGGCCCCTCCCCCTCCCCCAGGAAATCATCTAAGCCACCACGCCACGTCCGCATCCATAGAGAAGCCACAGATTCCGCGTCCCAGGGTGCCCCCAGGTTTGTGGCACCACACTGGTCACAGTGGGACCCTGAATTGGGATGCTGCCAGCCTCAGTTGCCCTCCACACACCCCAAGAGGGAGCCAGGAGACCCCTCCAGAGTCAAGCTCATGGACGGGGCTGTGAGGAGCAGCGAGGTCAGGCACGGCCCTGCCCTGTGAGTCCAGCCCTCCTGGCCTCTCTCTCTGTTGTGGGAGGAAAGCCTTGGGCCTGGCCAGGCTCGGGCAGCTGGCACCCACTGTCAGTCAGCTTCGGGTCACTGTGACCAAAATCCCCGATGGAACATCGTCGGGGAGGAAAAGTTTATTTTGACTCATGGTTTYAGAAGTCTCAGCTCATGGTCAGCTGACTCCATTGCTCTGGGACTCGGGTGAGTAGGAACATCATGGCAGAGGGTGTGGCCAGACAGTTGTCAGCTCCCAGAGCTAAGGAGGGGGRACCAGGAGAAGAGCCAGCACCTTGCGACCTGCTTCCTCCAGCTGGCCCACCACCCCACCGGGKCCACCTGCTGTCGATGGATTAATGGATCACATGGATCAATCCACTGAGGAGGTCAGAGCCCTGGTGACCGGGTCATGGCCTCAGAGCCCTGCTGCGCTGGGGACCAGGCCTTCAACCCAGGAGCTTCTGGGGGACTTTCCAGATCCAGAYCATGGAGGCTGCAGGGATGTTTGCTGTTCAGCCATGAAAAAGCGGGAGGAAACAGAGGCCCGCCAAGGAACTCTTCGCTGGGGAAGTTTACAGACATGTTGGACAGT